ATTTAGAAGTAATGTAAAGAATTGGAAAATTGAGTTCCAAAACCTCATGAAATTACTTTATGATCAGAACATCACAGTTTTGGACCATGATCATGCAAATGGAATGAGAATGGAAGCGGAATTCTTTCAGGGAAGTCCTTCGACCACAGATTAGTAAGAAGGGAGGACAAATGATCAATTCCAGAGCTCCTAGAAAGGTACGCCTTTTCACTTGAGGGGTATACTTTTCACTTGACTGGCAGTAAGGGGTACCATTTTTACAGCCAATTATTTGAGGAAAGGCAACAACAACAACAACATCCAGTGTATTCCCACAAGTGGGGTCTGGGGAGGGTATGATGTACGCAGCCTTACCCCTACCCTGGAAGGGTAGAGAGGCTGTTTCCGGAAGACCCTCCGCTAAAAAGATGTAAGAAGCACTGATAACAAGTAGTAACAATACAGGATATTTAGAAAACTAAATCCAAGATAACAAAGGGGAAGATGAAAGAAGTACTTATCACAAATAATAACAGTGCAAGATATATAATGATATCAAACTAAAGGATACTGATGGCAAGTACTAACAATACAAGATATGTGAAAATAGCAAACTAAGGGTAAAAAGGATACCATACTAATACTAATACTAATACTGTTGAACCAAGGAAGACAAAGGGAAACGCTCAACTACATACTAACCTTCTACTTTAATTCTCAACCTCCACACCCTCCTATCAAGGGTGATGTCCTCCGTAAGCTCAAGATGTGCCATGTCCCGCCTGATCACCTCTCCCCAAGACTTCTTCGGCCTACCTCTATCCTTCCTCTTACCCCCAAGGCCAACCTCTCACACCTCCTGACCAGAGTATTTGTGTTTCTCCTCTTAACATGCTCGAACCATCTCAGCCTCGCCTCTCACATCTTTTCCTCCACGGGGGTCACTCCCACCTTGTACCTAATAACTTCATTCCCAATTCTATCTAACCTCGTGTGCTCTCACATCCATCTCAACATCCTCATCTCCGTTACTTTCATCTGCTGGACATGGGAGTTCTTAACTGGCCAGTACTCTGCCTCATACAACATAGTCGGTCTAACCACTATCTTGTAGAACTTCCCTTTAAGTCTCAACGGCACATTCTTATCGCACAAGACACCGGAAGCGAGCCTCCACTTCATCCGCCTTGCTCCGATACGATGTGTAACATCCTCATCTATCTCCCCATCACTCTGAATCACAGACCCAAGGTACTTAAAATTCTCTCTCCTAGGAATAACTTGCGTATCAAGCCTCACATCCCCGTCCACTTCCTGGACAACGCCGCTGAACTTGCACTTCAAGTATTCGGTCTTGGTCCTGCTCAGCTTGAAACCTTTAGACTCGAGGGTATGTCTCTTAGACCTCTAGCCTCACGTTAACACCACCACGCGTCTCATCAATCAGAACTATGTCATCCGCAAATAATATACACCAAGGCACCTCCCCTTGAATGTGTCGCGTCAATGCGTCCATTGCCAAGGAAAACAAAAATGGACTAATTATTTGAGGAAAAGAAAAAGCAACATATATTAGCTGACATCACATGCAAAAACTCTAGGAAGAAGAAGCTGAAGATCACTTGTTGCATAGCCAAGTTGCTACTCAGTTTGGTGGACAGCGGTAAATTGGTAGGTTAGTGGTCAATACAGTTAATGATGTAATATTCAGCTGGGAAGAAAAAAGAACATGCACAGCTTATGATGTAGCCATTTGGCTATTATCTGCGCAGTTGGGGGGGAAAGGACAGGAGAACCTTGAAGGATTGGGAAGATCTAATACAGATGATGGCATGTCTTTTCTTTTAGTAAATTTTGGAGCAGCCATGAGGAGTGACCACTTGTATATATATATTATTTTTTTGCCACACTAAATGAGTTATTACTTTATCAAAAAACAAACTTGTCCTTTCACCATGCAAATGAAACACAATGCAAAGAACTCGGAGGCAGAGGAGAAGCAAAAACAAAGAGGGAAAACCACTCTTACCCCGGAAATCCATCATGGAATAGTCGAACCTGTTCTTCTCGACTTGATTCATCAATGGACCACCAACCAAGTAGCCTGCTTATTGAAAATACCAACACATATTAGGCACCACTTAACTGCAGCATCAAGAATCACTATTATGTGACAGTTAAAAGTCTTCTTGTTATCCCATAATTTTCTGATTCTTCCTTTTGCACACCATGTTTTACAGAAAAGAAACCTGTAATGATTTATCTATCTGCCTCTTGTTGGTTCTTCATAACTTTACCTGGAACCGTGATGCATAAACGCAAAGCAGTCACGTACTCCTGAAGAGAATACATGATATCGTCCCGCAACAGCTCCACTTCGCAATAAAAGAACAATTTTCTCAACAAATCTTAAGGTAGCAAACAAGACCCCAGCTCCTTGCAATAGGAATATGGGTAAGAATAGAAGTGGAAGAGAAATGTGTCTTGCACTTGCAGGTGTGCCCTGAAATTCAGAAGAATAAATTAATGGATACAATTCCAAGTATATCCTCCAACCAGTAGCTGAGACACAATTATACCAGAGCAACTTACCTCCAGGCGCATACAGAGGAGGACTTGGAAACATACGATTGGAACTTTCATTAGGTGACCACCGAGGTCTTGCAGGCCACACAGTCTATTCTGTGGTTCCTCCTCTGAGGAAACCACTAAACCACTATTCCAGTCAAGATATCTGATAGTAGTAGATGACGAACTAGCTCCATGTGCGAGAGAGCTTCTATGAATCGTTGGATTTGACCACTTCGTACAAACAAGAAAAGCAAAGCACTCAGCAATACTGCCAAAACAGATGTTGAACTCTGTCAGTTTTAGCCAAATCCACTATAAGAAGAAAGACGACTAAGAGCATCACAAAAATGAAGTACCCATAATTTATAAACAAGTCCCACCAGCCCAGAGCGCCAACATCACCTGGAACAACAAAGGAATAGTGTAAGAATAGGTATTATTGCTGCAAGGAATATACCCCTACATGTATACATACATGTTTTGGAAGAAAGATCAATTAATCAAAAAAAACAAAAACAAAGAATAGGTATTAGTGACGTAAAACACTTGCATACTATAAATAAACCAGTCAAACCTTGGATTACATTTAGAATTGAAATATAA